AGTTGGAGTCTCACTCTGTCGCCCAGACTGGAGTGCAGTGGCCGCTCCCGGCCACCGCAGCCTCGACCTGCTGGGCTCCGGCGATCCTTCCGCCTCAGCCTTCCAAGTAGCTGGAATTATAGGCATGCGCTACCACGCCCTGCTGATTTTTTGATTTATTGTGGAGATGAGGTCTCGCTGCCCAGGCGGGTCTCAAACCCGTGGGCTCAGGCAATCCTCTCACCTCCTTGAGCCACCGCGCATAGCCTAATTTTAAAAATTTATTTGTGGAGAACAAGATCTTGCTATGTTACCCAGGTTGGTCTCGAACTCTTGGACTCACAAAATCCTCCCGCCTCACCCCCCTGCCCAAAGTGCTGGGATAACAGGCATGAGCCACTGTGCCTGGCCAACAGTATTTTAGAAGGTGTCAAGAGCTCCTGCTGGGCTGCCGGCTGTCTGGCTGATGGTTGTGTTAGACATATCACTTAAGAGACTCAGTGTTATACTTGTTTGAGAAGAAAATTACCATTAATTTTTAGAAACCTATCCCCGGAGCTGTGGAAGACAAAGGGATTCTCATTTTGAAAATGAGGTAGATGGCAGAGTAATTATGAGGAAGCCACACTTAATGGCCTTCATTTGACTAGGGTTACATCCTTTTATACAAAACTGGATTTAAATAAGAATGATAGATTCTTTTTCCTCCTGAGGTCTTTTTGAGCCCTGGATCAGATACTTTATAATTTGTAGGGTTTCAAAGTTGTAACTGGAAAAGACCACAAATATTAAAAAGTGTGAACTTGATATAAAGTTGGTTAGAGACTAACTTTTGCAGTTATCAACAAAGATGTGCATTGCTATGGATTCTCTTGTAGAGAAAGACAATATTTTGGGGCCCATATCCCACAGTCTACATTTTTATGATCTCTGATCAAAAGCCCATAGCTGCCTGTTGGATTGTTAGAATATTCTTATTTTGAGAATAATTTATTTGTAAAAGAAATAATTGAAAGACATTACACTTTGAGGTATTTCATTGATTTCTTTCTAAGATAGGAATTTTAAAAATTAAAAATTAGGATGATAAAGTTTCACAAATGAGCAAGCAACATCCTCTGTCTAAAAGGAGCAAACTAGAAACTTCAGAGGGCAAAGCTCCCTCACAGATGCAAAGTGCATGGTAACCGCTGAATCTAAGTGAACGTCTTTAGGGAAAGGTGTGTAAGTCCTGGGTACACCCCCCCCACCTGCCCCCTGAGGGGAGGAGCCAGAGGCACTCGATGTGCACTCTAGAAGGAAGAGTTTCCTGAGGGTTCTGGTGGTGGGGTCGGTATCCCGACATCTACACATTTGCAGACTTAGTGCAAATACTGGAGAATCCACTTCCAGACAGACCTCATCTACTGCTGTCACTGTTTCTCAGAACCCGGGAATTAGAATTTAAGTTTAATTAAATTAGACCCAGGACCATTCACCAATATTAACCTGAATAAATCTCCCCTGCCACTGCCTTGGAAATAGAAAGCCATATAATAATAGCCTCTGGCGTTTCTTTTCCCCATCTTTGTAATTTTTTTTCTCTCTGCCCAATCTTCATCTGTCTCTGACTTCATTTCTCTCTCTCCTTATCTCCATCTCTATTTTTGTATTTTGTTCTCTCTGCTCAATCTCCATTCATCTCTGTCTCTGTTGCGTGCACTCTCTTTCTGTCTTCCTCTTTCCCCCATAAATAAAACCCTATTTATTTATTTACTTTTTGGAGTCGAGGCCCCATTGTCACTCAGGTTGGAGTACAGTGGCATGATCACGGCTCACCGCAACCTCGACCTCATTCAGCTCAGGCGACCTTTCCGCTTCAGCCTCCCAAGTAGCTAGGACGATGGGCACATGCCACCATGCTGGCTCATTTTTTGATTTTCTTGTAGAGACAAGGTCTCGCTATGTTGTCCAGGCTGGTCTCGAACAACTGGGCTCAAGCAATCCTCTGACCTCAGCCGCTCAAAGAGCTGGCATTACAGGCGTAAGCCACTGCGCTCTGGCCTCTCTTCTCCCCATTTTAAAGCACAGATGCAAGGTAATCCGAAGTGTGGTCTATATTCTAAAGGGCCTTTTGGCACGCCTGGAGGGACCAGGCATCTGCTGCCTTTGAACTGGGAAAGCGCAGCTGCTTTGGACTCCCTGCCACAGCCAGGCACTCCCAGCTTGAGAGCAGCCCTCTCTGGAGCCTAACTCTGGAGACTTGTCGTGGGAACCTGCAGACTTAAGTCTGAGAGTGAAAAACACAACAACAAGGGATATTGGAGACCTAATGAGATTATGCAGCCAATGTGATTGTTTATAAAGATAAATTATCTTAGTTGCTAAGATAAACAAAAAATATTTGTACTGAATAAAAAAGGTTATTTCAGGGGAAACTCTTGGAGAATTTGCCAGTTCTTTTGTGTATTTTAGTGTCTGTGCAAACATTAGACATTCAGGACGAGGCCTGGCTACTAGCAGAGGAATGACTTTGTGTGTGACACTTCTGAGCTGCGTGAACTAATATATATTTTAAAATTTCAATTCGGCTTGTACGCTTACAGGCCATTGTTGGCGTTAAAGGAGTCATTTTATGGAGCAGTTCATCTGGATACCAGATGTTCTGGAGTATATACTTTTTTTAAAAAAAAGATGATCCCTTTTGTGGGAATTTTTTTTTTTTTTTTACAAAATCTAGGGATAACACATTTTCATATTCTGCAGAAAATCATTATCTTTCTACTCAAACTATTAATGTTTTGTATCATCTGATGTTATATTTATATATTGTGAGCAAAGCACTGTACTAAGAGAGTTATGGATCCTGATTTCCAAAAAAGTTATAAGCATTTCATCCGATGATGTGAGAAGACAACACGTAAACTCGTCACAGAAAAGCCAGGAGACTGGCACAGGCCATGCTGTTGAGGACAAAGTCCACCCAATACAAAAGGCAGGCGTGACTAGCTGGGGTCATTTGTTTATTTGACTTTTGCAGGATTGACCTTAGAATCTGCATCCTCCCCCGGCCCAGTTCCCCTCTCCTTGGAAACTTCCTGCCACGGCTTTTCCAAGGCCCTCGCCTACGTGTCATGTCACATTAGTGAGCGGCAGGCCACGCGAGGCTCGCCTGGGGCAGAAGATCCTTTGTTTCTTTGGGGGAAAAGGCTGCAGTTCACCACCAGTTATCATAAGTCACTCATTTATCATCTCAAGATCCTCCTCTGTTGGGTGTGAATCGAGGGACAAGCGGTCAGTTGTTTGGAGGGTTAGTTTGTCGTTTGAGTTTTGAAAAAGTAATTTAAGGCAACCTGCAAACATACAAACAATATTTGTGGGGGGGAGAAAGGAACATAGTGAGAAAAATGAAGCCAAGGCAAAATAAAGAGGAGAGAGGACAATAAATCAGAATGAACTCACCGCAGCTTCTCACACCACCAACTCTGGGTGGGTAACAAGGTGCTTCTGGTTCCCCAAGTGGTTCTGCCTTCTCCACTCTAGTTGCTTTCTTCCATCAGCCACTGTGGTTCCTGTCAGGAGAACTAGGGAAAGAGATTCTCTCTCTCTCTCTCTCTCTCTCTCTCTCTCTTTAAAGTTATTTGTTTGTTTATGTATGTATGTATGTATGCATGTATGTATTTAGAGTCAAGGTCTCACTACAGCCTCTACCTTCTGGGCTCAACGATCCTTCTGCCTCAGCCTCCCAAGTAGCTGGGACTACTTGGTGCATGCCACCACATCTGGCTCCTTTTTAGGTTTTTGCAGAGACAAGGTCTCACTATGTCACCCAAGCTGGTCTCGAACTCCTAGGCTCAAGCAATCCTCCTGCCTCAGCCTCCCTAAGGGCTGGATGACAGGCATGAGCCACTGCTCCCAGCCGATTCTTTTTATTTTTACTGGTATTGGCTGTGGGTCTGGATCTGCTTTGGGTACAGAGGAAAAGTAGCTTGATACATTGTTATGGTTCAGAGTTCTTGTTGATTTTTTTATTTATTTAGAGACAGGGTCTCACTCTGTTGTCCAGGCTGGAGTGCAGTGGCACAATCATGGCTTACCATAGCTTCTACCTCCTGGGTTCAGGCAATCCTCCTGCTTTAGCCTCCAGAGTAGCTGGGACTACAGGCATGCACTACCACACCTGGTTAATTTTTTTTTTTTTTTTTTTTATAAGCATGGGGTCTTGCTCTGTTGCCCAGGCCAGTCTCAAACTGCTGGGCTCAGGTGATCCCTCCACATCAGCCTCCCAAAGCACTGTAATTACAAGCATATGCCACCGTGTCTGGCCTTATGGATTCTTATAATGAGCAGAGATCTCAAATGTTCCCCAGCCACCCCCTTGTTATGGGAGCTTTTGACATTATCCTCAGCAGGTGACATCACTATCTTTGGTTAGCATTCATTGTATTCATATATGAAGCATTTACTGGACTTGGGCACGTGCTACACACCTGGGACAAAAACACCTACCATCTGCAAGTCTTGCCCTCCAAGAGCTTAGAATAGAAGTAAAGACCTCTGGGACCCTGGTCCATCTCACTTCTCACATGTGCCTTCGCACCTCCTCGAAATATTAAATGTGGACTTAAATGCTACTGAACTGGTTTGCTGGCTCCTGATTTGTAGACATGTCCATAATGTATTAAGTGAGAAAAGCAAGGGGCAGAGTAATGTGTCCAGTAGGATTCTCTTCCTAAAAAAACACATAGTCCTGGCTGAGTGCGGTGGCTCAAACCTGTAATCCCAACACTTTGGGAGGCCGAGACAAAAGAATTGCCTGAGCCCCGGGGTTTGAGACCAGCCTGGGCAACATGGTGAGACCTCATCTCTACAATAAATCAAAAATTAAGCCAGGTGTGGTAGCACGTGCCTGTAATTCCAGCTACTTGGAAGACTGAGGTGGAAGGTTCGCCTGAGCCCTGGAGGTTGAGGCTTTGGTGGCCATGAGCATACCACTGCACTCCAGACTGGGTGACAGAGCGAGACTCTGGCTCAAGCAAAACAAAACAAAAAAACGTAGTCCTATGCCACATATGTGTTTATACACCAGTGTAGGTCTGTATAAGCAAGGAGAAGATATGTGAAAAGATTCACATCAAATGATTCATACTGGTTTATAGTCACAGTTGGCTAGGCTGGTGTGGTGGCTCACGCCTGTAATCTCAGTGTGTTGGGAGGCTGAGATGGGAGGATTGCTTGAGCCTGGGAGTTCAAGACCGGCCTGGGCGACACAGCAAGACCTCATCCCTAAAAAAGATTTTAAAACGTAAGCGGGCATGGTGGCCTTGTGCCTTTGTTCCCAGCTACTTGAGAGACTGTGATGGGAGGATCTCTTGAACCTCGATGGGAGGATCTCTTGAATCTCGATGGGTCGGTGGAGATTGCAGTAAGCTATGATTGAGCCACTGCCCTCCAGCCTGGCCGACAGAGTGAGACCCTGACTCAAAACAAACAAAACAAACAAACAAACACGGAACAATTATTTGAGATTGTTGATAGGGGGAATTTAGAAAAGGAAGACTATTAGCTTCTCTTTTAAGCAGGAAAAACATCGTATCAATTACAGTAGCTATTAATATCATGTCCTAATCGGCATATACAACACTTTTAACCTGAAGGCATCATATACAATTTAAAAATCATAGTTAACACATTAAAACTGTTTTCATCCGAAATGTTGGTTTTTGTCTCGATCAGCACATCATGCAGCGAATTCAGAGGCTTCAGGCTGACTGGGTCTTGGAAGTAGACACCTTCCTGAGTCAGACGCCCTACGGGTACCGGTCTTTCTCAAATATCATCAGCACCCTCCATCCCACCGCTAAGCGACACTTGGTCCTCGCCTGCCACTATGACTCCAAGTATTTTCCCCACTGGGACAGCAGATTGTTTGTGGGAGCCACAGATTCAGCTGTGCCGTGCGCGATGATGTTGGAACTTGCCCGTGCCTTAGACAAGCACCTCCTTTCCTTGAAGGTATCTGTTTTCCCCTTGTTGATTCCCAGGGTGAAATACATCAGCAATTACTCAGAGCGAATTCTAGAATCCTTAGGGGAATGAGGAGGCCATTTAGAAATGGAGACTTTTGGGATATTGTTATTCTAATTTGTTACAAAATGATGTGAATTTGAATGAATATTCTTTGAAAGTTACTATGATTCGAAATGTCAACCAGGGGCAATAAACCTAAGGTACAGGGCAGTGCATCCGTTCATTGGTACCTGATTCCTCAGCTCTGCATACTCATTACATGAAACACAACATTTCTTTCCTTCTTCTTAGTATTTTTTTTTGAGTCGAGGTCTCACACTGTCACCCAGGCTACAATGCGGTGGCACGATCACGATGATCATAGCTCACGCAACCTCGACCTACGGGGCTCAGGAGATCCATCCACCTCAGCATCCCAAATAGCAGGGACTACAGGTGCATGCCACCACACCTGGCTAATTTTTTGCTTTTTTTGTAGAGACGAGGTCTCCCTTTGTTGCCTAGTCTGGTCTCAAATTCCCAGGTTCAAGCAGTCCTCCCGCCTCAGCCCCCCAAAGGTGCTGGGATTACAGGTGTGAGCCACCACACCCAGCCTAGCCAATTGCGAGCCTACCGTGCCTAGCCATAACACAACATTTCTTTGTGAAAAATCAAGGAGCGAGGTTGGTACCCACATAAGTATGAGAACTATGTTTTCGAAGAAACCATGTTCATTTCTTCATGTTTATACAGCCACAACATCACAGCTTTCTGATCTGAGAGATGGTGGCTCTTTGGTTGGGGCGGGGGGGCTGCAAAGTGGTTCTGTAGGAGAGAGTGGGTAATTCAGGCCTATCACGATGAAAAGCACGAAGCAGAAATGCATTATTGTTATTATCTGTGAATCTCGGCTTCCCTTTACATAGCATAGCAGAGCATTGTGCTTTCAGCTCAGAATACTTCTGGGACTCTCAGATGTTATTTCAGCCTCTGTGTTCTTAAGGGGCTATTGGAAAAAAGTGCTAAACCCGATGGAGACATTCTGTTCTGATATCGCTCATAACCAAGTAAACACAACAAAGCAAAAACCAAAAACTTCATTCGCAGGCAACAAACACCCTTTCCTCCCCTGCAGAACTCGATGAAGGGTCCAGCCTTTGATACAATGGAGGTAAAGGAGTAAAAGATTATCTCGTAATGGAAGTAATAGAGATATTTGGTTCTATTTTTGCTGGATATGCTGAACTTGAAGAAAGCAAGAATTGTTGATACCCTCCCGTCTCCTTTTCGCTAGTTTTTTGTTTTGTTTCTGAACCTTCTATTATGCCTTTGTCCCATACACTGCCTGGTTTTTAACCAGCACCCTTCCCCAGCAATTGGGTGAGGGAACTCAAAAGCCAACACGAGAGTTTAATTCTTCATATTTGCATTTCTTGTCCAAGAATATGATATGTCCTTAAAGGCACTGTTCTGTATAGTGGGTGTGTTTTCTCTCAGTGAGCTCATTGACCTTTTCTCATATATTCTTACTCATTTTTGGTCACAGAAATAGAAAGGCCTGAGTGGTTTGGGGGGGGTGGTATCCCCATTAAAAAGTTAAAGGCAACATATATATTCTTGGCCAGGCACAGTAGCTTATACCTGTAATCCCAGCACTTTGAGAGGCCAAGGTGGGAAGATCGTTTGAGTCCAGGAGTTCCAGACCAACCTAGGCCACATGGCGAGACCTCGTTTCCACAGAACATCAGAAAATTTGCTGGGTGTGGTGGTGCACACCTGTAGTCCCAGCTACTTGGGAGGCTGAGGTGGAAGGATCGCTTGAGCCCAGAAGGTTGATGCTGTGGTGCCACTGCATTCCAGCCTAGAAGACACAGTGAGATCTTGACTCAAAAACAAACTATATATATGTGTATTCTCTTAGTTATCCTTTCTGTTAGAGGTAAACAATGGTTTGGGGAGTTTTTTTAAAGGGCTGTTTTTGAATGCGAACTTTGAGAGTATCATGTCTATTCTTCCATTTATACTTTAAATTTGTATTGAGGAATTATTTTATGTTCTTCAGCTTTTGTGGGTTGGGTAGGTGGTGGCGGAAAGTGTCCTAAGAGAGGGCTGAATAGTAGGCTGGATTATTCCCAACTCCTCACAGCCCCTCCTCTCTCCAGTAACAGGACTATAAGCCCACATTCACATTCTTTGCCCTGCAACTTTGCAGTCTTCCTTACCCTCTCCTTCTGTGATTTGGAGAAGTTATGTCCACGAGACAAAACTAAATTGCTACAATAACAGAACAATCCCAGAATATGAAAGAGATTTTGAAAATTAAAAGTTCTGTGTTCAAATTCATGCAAAAGTTCTGTGTTCAAATTCATGCAAATTCATAACAAAGTAGAAGGAATACCTTTTCTAGAAAAAGGACAACAATGACAAAAAAAAAAAAAAGATCTCTCATCGCTTTTGGTGAATCATTCCAAGTCCAATAGGTCACATGAAAAGTATTGGGAATGAGAACAGTGTTGGACTTCTCAAGAGAAACCTTGGGAGCTAGAACATGATAAAATTGTGCCTTAAATATTTAAAATAAAAATAATTTTCTGCTCAGACTCATAGCCAGTCAAATCAAATAGTAGAATGGAATGGAGACATGTTCAGATGTAAGTCTCAAGAGTTTCACCCTCTTGTTCTGTTTCTTTTTATGAAGTTGCCTAAAGGTGTGCTCCAGCAAAATCAAGAAAGAGGGTGTCTTGGGGTTCAGGCCACTGGAGATTCCATATGGGAGAAGGAGAGGGAGTCCCTAGAGGGATGGGGAGGGGATACCGAAGAGAACAGGTGGGTAGCGGCCCTGGTAGCCAGTTCAGGCTGGAGCAAGCAGGAAAGAGCTCCAGGAAGTGAGACCCATAAGCAACAAAGCCAGACAGACACACGAGAAACAAAGGTGCTAGACTGTCTGGCAAGTGTGACCACATAATTGTCATGATATCCTAGGCTCAAAGAAAACAAAGCACATGGGAAAGAGAGGGAAGTGGTGAGGAATGGTGGGAAATGGGTTTGCAGAGGCAGGATGAACTGAATTTGGGTGTGTGTATGGAGAGAGAGATCTATATCCCCAATGGTTTTTGGTTTGAGTAACAGCAAGGGTAGTGTTGCCATCAATTTAGTTGGGGGGAGTGGTGGTAGTGCAGATTTTAGGAAAAACAGCAGGAGTTGAGTTTTGAGCCTTTATGTCTGAGATGTCTATTAAACATCTGTGTGGAGGTGTGTATTTGGTAGTTGAATTTGCAGATTTGGAGCTTAGGCGTAAGGTCAGAACTAGAGATATATATTTTTTGTTTCTATATGTGTGTCTGTGTGTATGTATTGTAAGTGGGTGTGTGTAGATATGCGTATGTAAATAATTTAAAGCCTCAAGAATAGATAGATATTAAGGGAGTGAGTGTGGACAGGAAAGGAGAGAACCAAGGAGCGAGCCCTAGGGTTTTCTAGTATTAAAAGAAAAGGGGAGAGCCGGGCTTGGTGGCTCAGCCTGTAATCCCGCGCCTTTGGGAGGCTGAGGTGAGTGGATTGCCTGAGTCCGCGGGTTCGAGACCTGCCTGGGCAGCGAGACCTCATCTCTACAACAAATAAAAAAAAATCAGCCGGGCATGGTAGCGCATGCCTGTAATTCGGCTACTCGAAAGGCTGAGGCAGAAGGATCGCCAGAGCCCAGCAGGTCGAGGCTGCGGTGGCTGGGAGTGGCCACTGCACACAGAGTGAGACTCCAACTCAAAAAAAAAAAAAAAGAAAGAAAGAAAAGAAAAGGGGAGGTCAAGTGCAGTTGGTTATGCCTGTAATCCCAGCATTTTGGGAGGCCAAGGTAGGAGAATCACTTGAGCCTAAGGATTTGAGACCAGTCTGGGCAACATGATGAGATCTCACATCTACAAAAAAAAAAAGTTAGCTGGGTGTGATGGTTCAAGCCTGTATTTCCAGTCACTCGGGAGGCTGAGACAGAAGAATCACCTGAGCCCCAGATGAGGTTGCAATGAGTCGTGAGTACGCCACTGTACTCTAGTCTGGACAACAGAGTGAAACTCCAGCTCAAAAAAAAAAAAAAGTGGAGTGTGAAGGAAACCATCATTGCTGACTGAGGCAGGAGGAAATATGGTGTTCCCAAAGGGAGTGATCAACTATGTCAAATGCTGACAGTAAGTCAAGAAAGATGAAGACTGAGAGCTGACCATGGAACGTAGCAATGCAGAGGTCATTGGCATCTCTGTCAAGAGCAGTTTCAGCAACTGGCAGAGATGAAGCCTGATTGGGGCAGTTTTAAGAAGGGGAATTGGAGACAGTGTGAAGAGACAACGCCTTTAAGGAGTTTTGCTATAAAAGGGATAAACCGAGGGGGGCATAGTTGGTGGAAATAGTGGGGTCAGACACTTTGAGATGAGAGAAGCAACAGTATCTGTGTAGGCTGATGGGGTTATCCAGCAGAGAGAGAACAATAATGCTAGAGAGAAGTGGCATTTGCTAGAGTGATGTACTTGGGCAGATGAGAGGGATGGGATTCTGTGCACAAGTAGACAGACTGGCATCCGATCTGAACATGGCAAGGGGAGGTCAAGGCCACGAGCTGGGAGTGAGAACGGGTGAGGCTTTGGGGAAAGGAGGAGTGTGGAATACTGGAAGAGTGTGAGGGTGATTGAACTAAGAAAATACAGTCTGGCTTACCAGTCAGCAGGAAAGGCCAACGTGAGGTTTGTGGTCGTGAGTTTTAAGCAAGACCAGACAGTGTGGTTATATATTTATCTCTGGCTAGGTTTAGCTGCAAGCGTGCAAGCATAGCCTAGGGTGGGACTTAATGTTATGTTTTTGCCATGAAAGTGGGACCAAAGCAGGCAGAGGGCAGCAAGGGAACTGAGGTCATATAAAAGGGAATAGAGTGATTAGGATTTACTGGAATATATATATGTATTTGTGTGTGTGTATGCGTGTATTTTTTAAAATCAGGGTATCATTCTTTTGCCCAGACTGGAGTGCAGTTGCATAATCACAGCTCACCAAAGCCTCCAACTCCTGGGATCAAGCAATCCTCCTGTGTCAGCCTCCTGAGTAGCTGGGACTGCAGATATTGGCCACCATGTCCAGTTAATTTTGTGTGTGTGTGTGTGTGAGAAGACAATGTCTCACTATGTTGCCCAGGCTGGTCTCAAACTTCTGACCTCAAGTTATCCTCTTGCTTCTGCCCCCTAAAGTGATGGGATTACAGGTGTGAGCTCTCATGCCCAGCTGATGGACTGGAATTTAAGCCCCATATGAAGTGAGGACATGAAGGAGGATAGTAAAGGAGATCACAGTAAGGACTGTGAAAAGATGGAAGATTCAATAGATGAGAGATTCCCATGGGGTCGAAGGATGCTGAGGTTAGGGTACCAGGACTAATCTGAAAGGCCAGACTTCCCACTGTCTGGGTTATTGTCAGATGGTAGAAAGTGTTAACTAAATCAAAGGCTTGGAATGGTAGCTCATGCCTGCTATCCTGCTGTCCGAGCACTTTAGGTGGCTGAGGTAGGAGGATCGATTGAGCTTGGAGTGTGGAACCAGACTGGACAACATAGTGAGACCTCATTGCTCCAAAAAAAAGAAAAAGAAAAGAAAAAAGCCAGGTGTGGTGGTACAGACCTGTAGTCTCAGCTATTAATACTTGGGAGGTTGACACTGGAGGATCACCTGAGCCCAGGAGTGGGAGGATGCAGTGAGCAGTGATCAGATCACTTCACTCGAGCCTGGGGAAGAATAAGACGCTGACTCAAAAAAAAAAAAAAAAACAATCCATCAGAATCCAGAGGACTTTGCTGTTATATTTGTGGCTGGTGGCACATTTTGCGACGCTTGCGTTCCTGAACCTACACCCAATACAAATATTGCAGACTTAAATAAAAAAGAAACTTTTGCAGTTGTTTCCGGTTGGATTCCCCAGAAAGCACACTCTGATGTGGAATTCAGTTCTCAGGTCATTTATTAGCGAGTAACCTTGGGTCAACATGGGTGGCAGGGAGGGGAAAGAAATGGGACTGGGTAGAGGAAAAGAGGTCAAGCTGCAATACAGGTTCAACAACAGCCTCGGTCAACCCCTGGGGAGCTCAGGGGCCCCTCAGAGACCCCCCAGCACCTATGGAGACCAGTCATGTGGTGTAAGACACTCCTGGGCCAGCAAGGCCATTTCCAAAGTTTCTGCCAGCTGGGGCAACACACCCTGCTGGGGAGGGAGGCGGAGCTAGGTGGCATGTCACACTGCTCATCATAGCAGTTTCAGAGTTTCCAAGTTCTCAGGAGTAAGAAATAATATGGCTTCTATCTTTAGAGGGTGTGGGAGAAGGTGACGTGTGTGGGTGAAGATGATGGGAGCTGTGATGATTTTGGGTGTGAAATAAATGTTGGCATCATCTCAGTTGCTTTGTTATCGTCCTTTGTGCCATATCCATCTTTTTGCCCAGTTAATAAGAAAGCGTGCTGTTTGTTTTTGTTTTTTTAAAATCATCACAACGTTTTTGCTCTTTTTATTGTTCACTTTACCAGAATATTTCAGACTCCAGGCCAGATCTCTCCCTCCAGCTGATATTCTTTGATGGGGAAGAGGCTTTTCTTCACTGGTCTCCTCAAGATTCTCTCTATGGGTCTCGACACTTGGCTGCGAAGATGGCATCAACCCCACACCCACCTGGAGAAAGAGGCACCAACCAACTGCATGGCATGGTCAGTCTGGGTAACTTCTTCAGGGCTGTGTAACTGCAGCCACTGTCCCAAGGATAGGTCACTAAAGCCAAGTAAAGACCTGGAAATGCCATGGCATCTTGGAGCAGAGTCTTTAGAACATTCCTTGGCAGGCACTAGGTCTTTGAGGAAACCCAGAGCTAAAAATGACTCTGGGTTAGAAGCCATGTTTGACTGAGCTTCATTAAAATGATACAATGAATCAGATGAAGGAAACATCAGATTTGTTTGGATCCAGTGGGAGCACATGCCCCCAGTACTGTATTGAGCTGGAGTGAGCAAACCCCTTCTTGGAGGCCTTTATAAAGTCTGAGGAAAGCCGGGTGCAGTGGCTCACACCTGTAATCCCAGCACTTTGGGAGGTAGAGGTGAGAGGATTGCCCAAACGCGGGGGTTTGAGACCGGTGTGAGCAACTTGGCGGGAGCTGTCTCTACAATAAACAAATAAATAATTTAGCCGGGCATGGTGGCACTCCCCTGTGGTTCCAGTTACTTGGAAGACTGAGGAAGAAGAATTGCCACCTGAGCCCAGCAGGTCGAGGCTGCATTGGCCGTGAGCATGACCCTGCACTCCAGCCGGGGCAACAGAGTGAGACTTTGACATAAAGAAAGAAGGAAAGATGAAAAGAAAGAAGAAAGGAAGGGGGGAGGAAGAGGGAGAGAGAGAGAGAAGGAGAAGAAGAAAGAAAGAAAGAAGAAAGAAAGAGAAAGAAAGAAAGAAAGAAAGAAAGAAAGAAAAAGAAAGAAAGAAAGAAAGAAAGTCTGAGGGGTATGGGGTTCTGAGAAACAGAATAAGAGGAGGGTGGGAGTAAAGAATTTCCTTGGTGGCTTCAAAGTATTACAGTGGCTCCAGTGTGTATATGGCATTGTGATGAGTTGGTTTGGATGTGGCGTTTTTGCCACGGGGTTGGGGACATTGTGATACTGCCTTAAAACCTTGCTGTTATTACTAAGTAATGGGTGCACCACACAGTCTCATCTTCGTCCCATTCCTGGGCCACACTCCACCCCTACTCCCTCACCCGCCCCTGATGCTCTCTACACTCTGACTCTCTTCCCTCATTTGATCTTTACTCAGTCCCTAAGTCCTCATGACCCCCAGCTGGGAACCTCCCGCTATCCTGGAGACTCCATTCTTCTCAGGACCCTCATCCATCCTGACCTTCATCCCATCTGGGAACTGACAGCTTATTCCTAAACCTCCCCTCATTCCTGTCCTTTTTCCTGTTACTGACCTTCACTCTGTTTTATTTTTATTTATTTCTTTTGAGGCATGGCCTCAGTCTGTAGTCCAGACTGGAGGGCAGTGGCATGAACACAGCTCCCCACAGCCTTGACCTCCTGGGCTCAGGTGATCCTCCCTCCTCTGCCTACCGATAGTGGTGCTACAGGCTTGTGACACCATGCCCAGCTAATTTTTGGATTTTTGTTGTTGTTGTAGAGATGAGGTCTTGTTATGTTGCCCAGGCTTGTCTCCAACTCCGGGGCTCAAGCAATCCTCCTCTCTCATCCTCCCAAAGTGCAGGTGTGAGCCACCACGCCCAGCCAACCTTCACTCATATGTCCAAATGGCCACATTTTTTTATTTTTATTTTTTTTGAGTTGGAGTCTCACTCCATCACCCAGGCTGAAGTGCAGTGGTGGGATCACGGCTAACGCAGCCTCAACCTGCTGGGATCAGGTGATCCTTCCACCTCAGCCTTCCAAGTAGCTGGAACTACAGGCATGTGCCACCACGCCCAGTTAATTTTTTGACTTATTGTAGAGATGAGGTCTCACCATGTTGCCCAGGCTACTCTCGAACTCCTCAGCTAAGACAATCCTCCCGCATCGGCCTCCTGAAGTACTGGGATTACAGGCGTGAGCCACTGGCCCCAAATGGCTACATTTATTGTCTTCTAGGACACTCACACACCTCCTGTTGTCCATTGGCAGCTCATAATCAAGGGAATATGATGAGAGTCTCATTCATTCACTTGTGCCCAAGTGACTAAAAAGGGTTCAGAGAGAGAGAGATCTGGCTGAGTAGGAGAACAAAGTTATGTATTTATCAGCCCAAGGATATAAATCGACAGTGATGGTTAAGACCTTTTCTTTCCAGTAGCAATTTTCTGGTAGCTTATCTAACCTTGTAAATATGTTCCTATGTCAACCAAGCCTATTTTTCTTATGGATATATTTAATTATCATTCATGAATTGATATATACTATGTTTTTAGAATCATAAATTCTGAAGATATTTATCTAATATTTGCCAGGATCTATGCTAGATATTTACACACACATTATTTCACTATGCAAATCAGGAGGTCTTCATCTAGGGGGGTTAGTCTTTGGGGATTTCTCAAGCCTGCTGATGTTTTATGGCTCAAACAGAGTAAAGAACACTGCTGTAATTATAACCAGAAGGAATGCTTAGAGCTCAGAGAGTTTGAAGTCTTTGTTTGATATACTAGAAAATGGAAATCCAGAGATACGATGTCATGTAGCTCCCAAACAAAGACTTTTTTTTGGACACTGCTTGGTCAATAAATTGTTACTGTTCAAGTGCTTTCTTTGGGAGCCATGTCATTACAGATTGAGAATACAATGGTGAGTTTAAAATGGAATAAAAGATTGGACAGGGCTCCCTGGAAGGAAAGAGAATGTATTCTTTTTTAATCTATGAAATACTTCTCCAAATGTCCTCTTTCTAATTTATCTTTAATGATATACTCTTGGAGTTAAACAAAGAGTCAACACTTTGCCATGCGTTCTCATTGCATAAGCAAGATTTAAAGAGTTCTCCAAAATGATTAGCATAAAATGTTATTAGACCTTTCGTTCATTTGTAAAGCTCCCATATTATCCTCAATTATTAAAATGCAGCTTGTTTTGACCATTTTTCCCTGTGGATGAATATGAAACATGTTTTGGTGACAGTGATTAAACAATATTTGTTCTCCTTTAGGATTTATTGGTCTTACTGGATTTAATTGGAGCTCCAAACCCAACATTTCCCAATTTTTTCCCAAACTCTGCCAGATGGTTTAATAGGCTTCATGCAATTGGTAAGTACCACTGTTATTAAAGGATAAAATGTGGATTCTTCTGACTGACAGACACTACGCTTCAAAATTTGTAGTTTAAATGCATGACTTAAATATGTAATGTACTTTACAGGCTCTTTTCTTGCCTTATTGATTAGTTTATTGTTCCTATTCATATCTTTTAGTAAGCCCAGTTTATTTTCTTGCATAAAACTGTATTTTGAAATGGAAACATAAAATACTACATTTCATGTTTACATATCCTTAGAAATGATTTGAAAAATATCCTCCCAAAGTTCAGTTTGAAGCATATGGAATGCATTTCTAAAAAAAACTTGTCTCAGCAAAGCATGTTGGCATATATGAATGCTATGTTCTTGTAATGATACCTAAAGATATTCTTTAATTTTTCTTGCTTTTCCATCTCTGTCTTTTTCATCTTCTATTTTCTGCCTTATCCAGACATGATTTTCCTTAAAATCTAGTACAATCTCTGCCAATTTTCCAAAGAAGTGAGAGATTAGGATGTAGAGAAGGCCAGATCCTTCACAATTTAGAGTCAACTATATGGGAGTAGACTAGGCCAGACCAGGCCAAGATATCTATGGCAGGAGAGAGAGGCTTGGCCCTTAGAGAAAGCAGAGGAGAAGAACTTCTTCTCTTCATAGTTCCACCCTACCCCACCCCACCCCACCCCACCCCAAACAAAACAAAACAAGCCCTTCAGGCACCAGGAAAAGATGAAAATGAGATTGACCTTAGTTATAGAATCCAGGCCAGAGTGCTGCTTTGGAGGCAAGAACTTCATGCTAGAAATTTCTTGTTAGCCCCACAAACTTTTTGGAACAAGATAGAATTGTCCTACTTCTAAGCAGTGGGAAAAACACTGCAATCTTAATTGATCCCTTTGCCATGAGTAAACTATTTGCCAGAATCTAGGTCTAGACTCTTTTTTTTTTTTTTTGAGTTGGAGTCTCACTCTGTCGCCCAGACTGGAGTGCAG